TTATAGAATCCTCTCCTTCCCGTAATACAATGTTGATAAAGCTAAGTCACCAAGCTGACGACTAAAAATTTTATGGTCCATGTAATTCAAAAGATGAGGAGATGACTTAAGGTAAGGAGGCACCGGAACTTTCATGGCAGGACACAAGGAAAGGAGCAAGGTCCCTGAGCCTAACGAGGGAACTTGAGAGGAAGGGGAGCTGTGGAGTAGATGTGGGGATCTCCAGCTTGGTCAGTGCAGAGCAGGGTGCCCAGTAGGGAAGAACAGGGACATGGCACTCCGTGCTGAGGAGTATGAAGGAAGACGGGTATTCACAGACTGCTGAGGGTGGTGTGAGCGCCAGCAATCTTTTGGAAAAGCACTTGGCAGTAGTTTTCACAGCTCCCACACATCCACAGACCTGTGCCTGTGCCCTCCTTTCCAACGTCCTCCAACTACCTCTTCACAACCACGTGCACCAGACCCCACCCTGTCACCACTTGAGGACCACCCCATTGATTCCATCCTCTTCTCATATCATCAGTTTCTCTTTCTTTCCTGCATCACTTCCATTAGGATGCAAACATGCTGTGTCTCCCATTCTGAAGAAACACAATGATCTCCTCTCAGTGGCACTTCTGCCCCAGTTTCTCACTGCCTATCTTTTCCTTTCTCTAGCAAACTCCTTCAGAGTTGTCCACCCCAGTTCTTTCTTTTTAAACTTTTTTTCTTTTATTTACATATTTTGAGACAGGGTCACTCTGTTGCCCAGGCTGGACTGCAGTAGCACGATCTTGGCTCACTGCAACCTCCACCTCCCGGGCTATCAAGTGATCCACCTGCCTCAGTCTCCCAAGTAGCTGGAACTACAGGCATGCACCACCACACCCGGCTAATTTGTGTATTTTTAGTAGAGACAATGTTTTGCTAGGTCACCCAGGCCAGTCTCAAACTTCTGGGCTCAAGCGATCCTTTCACCTCAGACTCCTGAGTAGCTGAGACCACAGGCATGTGCCACCACACCCAATTTTGGAGGTGGGCCTAATGGGAAGCGCTTGGGTCATAAGGGCAGATCCCTCATGAATGGCTTGAAGCTGTCTTTGCAGCACTGAGTGAGTTCTCATTCTATTAGTTCCCCGAGAGCTAGCTGTTAAAAAGAGCCTGGCACCTCCTTCCCCATCTCTCTTGCTTTTTCTCTCATCATGTCATCTGGACACACTGGGTCCTCTTCACCTTGTGTCATAAGTGGAAAAAACCCAAGGCTCTCACCAGATGCAAATGCAGCACCATGCTTCCTTTTTTTTTTTTTGAGACGGAGTCATGCTCTGTCGCCCGGGCTGGAGTGCAGTGGCCGGATCTCAGCTCACTGCAAGCTCCGCCTCCCAGGTTTACACCGTTCTCCTGCCTCAGCCTCCCGTATAGCTGGGACTACAGGCGCCCGCCACCTCGCCCAGCTAGTTTTTTGTATTTTTTAGTAGAGACAGGGTTTCACCGTGTTAGCCAGAATGGTCTCGATCTCCTGACCTCGTGATCCGCCCGTCTCGGCCTCCCAAAGTGCTGGGATTACAGGCTTGAGCCACCGCGCCCGGCCGGCACCATGCTTCTTATACAACTTGCAGAACCAGGAGCAAAATTATCCAGCCTCAGGTATTCCTTATAGCAAAACAAACGAACTAAAACATAGAAGTTTAATTTCACATAAAGCATACAAAATTGTAAAGGGCCAAGAATAGCCAAAACACTCATGAAGAGCAATAGAGTGACTATTAAGGCTTATTAAAAAGCTATACTAGGCTGAGCATGGTGGCTCCCTCCTGTAATCCCAGCACTTTGAGAGGCTTGGGTGAGAGGGCTGCTTGAGCCCAGGAGTTCAAGGTCACCTGGGCAACAGAGGGAGACCCTGTTTCTACAAAACATTTAAAAATAAGCCAGGCATAGTGGCGTGCCCCTGTAGTCCCAGCCACTCAGAAGGCTGAGGTGGGAAGATTGCTTGAGCTCAGGAGGTTGAGGCTGCAATGAGCCATCCTCCTGACACTGCATTGCAGCCTGGGCAACAGAGCAAGACCCTGTTCTCAACAACAAAAAATGCTATAGTAATTCAGAGAATGCAGTACTGGAACCCAAGGATAGAAAAGTAGACAAAGGGGCTGGGCACGGTGGCTCACGCCTGTAATCCCAGCACTTTGGGAGGCCGAGGCGGGTGGTTCACGAGGTCAGGAGATAGAGACCATCCTGGCTAACATGGCGAAACCCCGTCTCTACTAAAAATACAAAAAAATTAGCCGGGCATGGTGGCGGGCACCTGTAGTCCCAGCTACTAGGGAGGCTGAGGAAGGAGAATGGCATGAACCTGGGAAGCAGAGCTTGTAGTGAGCCAAGATCACGTCACTGCACTCCAGCCTGGGCGACATAGCGAGACTCTGTCTCAAAAAAAAAGAAAGAAAGAAAAATAGACAAAGGAACAATATAGAATCAAGGTATGATACACAGACACTAAATTTGTAACCAAGATGGCATTCTACAATACTATGGAAAGAATGGCCTTTTAAAGTTAACACAGAACAACTAGATATCCAAATCAGGGGAAAAAATGAAATTGGGCCCCATCTCACACCATACACAAAAATAAATTCCATAATTATAGACCTAAATGTGAAAGATGATGGATAATATCCTCTTGACCTTGGGTAAAGGAAAACATTTTCAAGACAGACACCAAAAGCACTAAAGCATAAAGGAAAAGATCAACAGATTCAACTACATACATACATTTTTTTGAGACAGAGTTTCGCTCTTGTTGCCCAGGCTGGAGTGCAATGGCACGATCTCAGTTCACTGCAACCTCTGCCTCCTGGGTTCAAGTGATTCGCCTGCCTCAGATTCCTGAGTAGCTAGGATTACAGGCATGCACCACCACACCTGGCTAATTTTGTATTTTTAGTAGAGATGGGGTTTCTCCATGTTGATCAGGCTGGTCATGAACTCCCGACCTCAAGTGATCTGCCTACCTCAGCCTCCCAAAGTGCTGGGATTACAGACATGAGCCACTGCGCCCAGCCCAGATTCAACTATTTAAAAATCATTTATTTTTAGGGATGCAGTCTCGCTGTCACCCAGCGAGGTGTGCAGTAGCGCAATCTTGGCTCACTGCAACCTCCACCTCCCAGGTTCAAGCAATTCTGCCTGCCTCAGCCTCCCCAGCATCTGGGACTACAGGTGCCCACCACCATGCCCAGCTAATTTCTGTTTTTTAAGTAGAGATGGAGTTTCGCCATGTTGGCCAGGCTGGTCTTGAATGCCTGACCTCAGGTGATCTGCCCACTTCAGCCTCCCAAAGGGCTAGGATTACAGGTGTGAACCGCCATACCCAGCCTAAAATTTAAAACTTCTATTAGATAAACATTAAGAAAATGAAAAAAATGACCAAAAAAACGTGAAAAATGAGAAAAATAGGAAAAAGATTACACAACTTGGTTGAAAAAATTGGGCAAAAGACTTGAACAGGTTCTTCACAACAGATGACCCAAAAGGTCTATAGACATAAACACACGAAAAGATGATGTTACGTATCATAGATAAATTAAATCATAGTACCACCATTTACCCACCAAAGAGGCTGAAATAAAAAATTAGGACACAAACCATGCTCAACCAAAAACATGAAACAATGGGAACTCTCAAGCTCTGCTGACAGAGTGAAAATAGGTATAACCACTTTGGGAAACAGGCATTACATGAAAACTGTGACCCAGTAATTCCTTTTCTGGATATCTACCTTTCCTCATAAGTCCTGTATGCACCAAAATACGTGTACGAGAGTATTCATGCCAGTCCCAAACTAGAAATAACCCATAAACTGTAGAATGAATGGTCATCTCTACAGTGAAATACTACATAGGAATTAAAATGGATAAACCATAGCTAAGTTCAAAACAAATAAATCTTTCAAATATTGTTGTGTGAGACAAGTTGTATACCCTAGATTATTCAGTATGGATGCTTCCATCTATATAAGGTACAAAAACAGGCAAAACTATAGTGCTGAGATGTTTAGTTTTTTCCCTTTCCCTTTCCTTTAGACAGAGTCTTGCTCTGTCACCAGGCTGGAGTGCAGTGGCACGGTCTCGGCTCATGGCAACCTCCTCTGCCCAGGTGGAAGCGATTCTCCTGCCTCAGCCTCCTGAGTAGCTGGGACTATAGGCACGCACCACCACACCCAGCTAATTTTTGTATTTTCAGTAGAGATGGGGTTTCACTATGTTGGCCAAGATGGTCTAGATTTCTTGACCTCATGATCCACCCACCTCAGTCTCCCAAAGTGCTGGGATTACAGGTGTGAGCCACCGCACCCTGCTGTTTAGTATGTTTAACGAAAGGAAAAGAAAGGAAACTGTAATCGAGTAGTAGCCTTTAGTGGGCTTTTGGAGTCCTGGTAATGTTCTATTTCCTCATCTGAATGGTGCTTATACCAGGGGTCAAATTAATTTGCAAACCTGTACATTACCTTTATGCATTTTTATAGTATATAACAGTAACAGTAAGAAATATTCTTTAGAAATGGGGTCTCACTCTGTCGCCCAGGCTGGAGTGCCGTGGCACAATCTTCACTCACTGCAACCTCTGCCTCCCAGGTTCAAGCAATTCTCCTGCTTCAGCCTCCTGAGTAGCTGGGATTACAGGTGTAAGGCACCACGCACGGCTAATTTTTTTAAGAAACGTTCTTTAAAGAAATACATTTTGGACAAATGAACAAGGTGATTCCACAGGGAGAGATCTCTCAATAAATGATACACAATCACAGGGATATGAATATGGAGGGGGGGACACCTCCAACTTCACCTCACATCATACCCAAAATTAACTTGAAATAGATCACAAACCTATACATATATAACAGCTAAAATTACAAAACCTCTAGAAGAAAACAAAGGAGAAAGTTTTCCCAATCTTGGAGTAGACAAAGATCTCTTGAGACCCCAAAAGCACTAATCATTAAAAAAAAATTGGTAAACTGGACTTACACCAAAAAACTCTGTTCCTCAAGACATGGCTGCTTCTGGCTTCTGCACTAGGATGAAGAGAGCTGGGCGAGCATACTGCTCACCCTTACAGTGCAAAACAGCCAGACTCACTTCCTATCTATGACTGTTTCTGAACCTGCTGAGGTTACAGAACAAACACTGGCCCATAATCTCAAGTGCCGTCAGGGAAAGAAAACGCATCCACTCACCTGGGTAGACACAATCAGACACCGGTAAGAGGAGTTCGGCAAGAATAAAAGACAAATTGCAAAAGGCTGAGTACAGGCTGTCAAGACAATTTCTGGCAGCTGCAGAAACTGGGAAAGCCTGCACTACTTCACAGGCTCTTTCTCCGTGGCACTCAGGACGCAATCACTGAAAAGATCTGAAAGAGCCCTAAGAAGCACAGACAGTAGTGCAGAACGCAGGGAGGGGACCAGGAGCCAGGAAGGAGGGGCAAGAAATTCCACTCAAATCCTTCCTCTTAACCTCCACTCAGAAACAAAAGTCCTAATTTGTGGGGGGCCGGGGCGGGGGCGGGGAAGGCTTTGGTGAACACTTGCTGTGACTAGGGGAAGGGAAGAGGGAGAGGAGGGACCTAGTTCTGCAAAAGGGGCAAGATTACACAGCGAGTCAGGGAAAAGGCGGAGCTGAGACAGCCGCACCTCTGAAGTCCAGGGTTACTAGACACGTCTAAAACTCAGGTTCGGCCAGGCGCGGTGGCTCATGCCTATAATCCCAGCACTCTGGAAGGCTGAGGCGAGCAAATTACCTGAGGTCAGGAGTTTGGCACCAGCTTGGCCAACATGCTGAAATACAGACAGGGTTCTGTCTCTACTAAAAATACAAAAATTGGCTGGGCATGGTAGCGGGTGCCTGTAGCTACTTTGGAGGCTGAGGCAGAAGAATCGCTTGAACCCGGGAGGCGGAGGTTGCAGTGAGCTGAGATTGCACCACCGCACTCCAGCCTGGGCAACAAGAGCAAAACTCCATCTCAAAAAACAACAACAACAAACTGAGCCTTAACCAGAAAAGGAGGCTGCACCCCACTACCACCACACACTTCCAAGTCAAAAAGCTTCAAACAACAGCCAACAGCAGAATACAGCTGGAAGAAGAATATGCAAAGAAACCGCCTGTGAAATACAAGAAAGAAAGAAGACTTAAAACAGAATTTCAAACACTGCCGTGGTAAAACACTCCTCATCCTAGATCCAAGCCGCCTCTACAAAAATTCAGAGCCTGTGCTGCATAACACACATCAAATAATAAACTGAGGCCAACTCTAAACAGAGCAGAAAACAAAATGGTTGAGAATTTTCCAAAATTAATGACAAACACCAAACCGCAGATCCAAGAAGCACAGAGAACGTTAAAAAACAAACAACAACAACAACAAACCAAACACCTGGTCCTATCACTCCTCACTTCTCAAAACAAAAGACAACCGGATACACAACTAATTAGGACAAAAGTCAGGCTCAACCAAGAATACGAAAATAAGAAAGAAAGAAGAGAGAGAGAGGAGGGAGGGAGAAGGAGGTAGAAGGAAGGAAGGAAACAAACACTGACCAAGTACAGTGGGGCTCATGCCTGTAATCCCAGCACTTGTTGGGGTGAGAGGATTGCTTGAATCCAGGAGTTCAGGAGCAGCCTGGGCAACATAGCAAGACCTCATCTCTACAAAAAAGTTTAAAAAATTAGACCACACTTGTGGTCTCAGCTACTAGGGAGCCTGAGGTGGAGAAATGCTTGAGCATGGGAGGTCGAAGCTGCAGTGAGCTGTGATCATGTCACTGCATTCCAGCCTGGGCAACAGAGCAAGACCTTGTCTTGAAAAGAATGGGGGCCGGGGGAGGAGAAGAGAGATTGAAAGCAGCTAGGGATAAAAGAAACATTACACATGGAAGAACAAAAACAATTACAGCAGGATTCTTGTGAGAAACCATAAAAACCAGAAGAGAGTAATTTTTCTAAAATCTGGGGGAAAAAATAGCTTTTAACTGTGACTTCTATACCCAGCAAAGGGATCTTTTAAAAGTAAAGGAGAAGGGCTAGGCGCGGTGGCTCACGCCTGTAATCCCAGCACTTTGGGAGGCTGAGGCAGGCAGATCATGAGGTCAGGAGATTGAGACTATACTGGCTAACACGGTGAAACCCCATCTCTACTAAAAATACAAAAAATTAGCCATGCGTGGTGGCGGGCGCCTGTAGTCCCAGCTACTCGGGAGGCTGAGGCAGGAGAATGGTGTGAACCCAGGAGGCAGAGCTTGAAGTGAGCCAAGATCGCACCACTGCACTCTAGCCTGAGCTGGAGCAAGACAGAGCGAGACTCCATCTCAAAAAATAAAAATAAATAAATAAATAAATATAAAGGAGAAAGACAGACTTTCTCAAACAAAAACAGGAAATTTATTGCCAGCATACCTAACCCACGTAAAACATTGAAGTATTTCAGAAGCTGGGCATGGTGGCTCACGCCTGTAATCTCAGCACTTTGGGAGGCCGAGGCAGGCGGACTGCCTGAGCTCAGGAGTCGAGACCAGCCTGGCAACACAGTGAAACTCCATCTCTACTACAATACAAAAAATTAGCTGGGAGTGGTGGCATGCGCCTGTAATCCCAGCTACTCAGGAGGCTGAGGCAGGAGAACTGCTTGGACCTGGGAGGGGCAGAGGTTGCAGTGAGCCAAGATTGTGCCACTGCACTCCAGCCTGGGTTACAGAGCGAGACTCCGTCTCCAAAAAAAGAAAGAAAGAAAACATTTCAGAAAGAGAGAATACGGTATCAGACCAAAACCTAGATCTACAAAAGAAATGGCAATCCCAAAAATGGAATAAAATAAATCAGTGGGTTTTTTTGTTGTTGTTTTTTTTTTGAGATGGAGTCTTGCTTTGTCGCCCAGACTGGAGTGCAGTAGCATGATCTCGGCTCACTGCAACCTCCGCCTCCTGGGTTCACACCATTCTCCTGCCTCAGCCTCCTGAGAGTAGCTGGGACTACAGGCGCCCGCCACCATGCCCGGCTAAGTTTTTTCTATTTTTAGTAGAGACGGGGTTTCAACGTGTTAGCCAGGATGGTCTCGATCTCCTGACCTTGTGATTTGCCCGCCTCGGCCTCCCAAAGTGCTGGGATTACAGGCGTGAGCCACCGCGCCTGGCCAAATCAGTGGGTTTTAAAAAAATTTATAAAGAACAGAGGTTTATTTGGCTCACAGTTCTGTAGACTATACAAGCATGGCACCAGCATCTGCTCAGCTTCTAGTGAGGCCACAGGAAGCTTTTACTCATGGCAAAAGGCAAAGGAGGAACAAATGTATCACATGGCAAGAGAGTGAGGAGCCAGAGATAGAGCGGGGAGGCCCCAGACTCTTTTTAACAACCAGATTTCAAATGAACTAACAAAGCAAGAACTCATTCATTACCATGGGGAGGGCATTCATGAAGTCATTCATGAAGACCCACCCCCATGATCCAACACTTCCCAGCAGACCCTAGCTCCAAAATGGGGAGATGTGTCATTTTATTTTTTTAAGTTTGGGGGTACATGTGCAGCATGTACAGGTTACACAGGTAAACATGTATCACAGGGGTTTGTTGTACCGATTATTTCTTCACCCAGGTAGTAAGCCTAGTAGCCATCAGTTGTTATTTTTCCTGATCCTCTCCCTCCTCCCACCCTCCACCCTTTGATAGGCCACAGTGTGTGTTGTTCCCCTCTATGTGTCCATGTGTTCTCATCACCTATAAGTGAGAATATAAAAGTTCCCGTGTTAGTTTGTTAAGGATAATGGCCTCTAGCTCCATCCAAGTCCCTGAAAAGAACAGGATCCCATTCTTTTATATGGCTGCATAGTATTCCATGGTATATATGTACCATGTTTTCTTTATCCAATCTATCTATCATTGATGGGCATTTGGGTTGATTCCATGTCTTTGCTACTGTGAACAGTGCTGCAATAAACACATGCATGCATGTGTCTTTGTAACAGAACAATTTATATTCCTTTGGGTATATACCCAATAATGGGATTACTGGGTTGAATGGTATTTCTGACTTTAGGTCTTTGTGGAATTGCCATACCGTCTTCCACAATGGTTAAACTAATTTACACTCCCACCAACAGTGTATAAGCGTTCCTTTTTCTCTCACCACCATCTGTTATTTTTTAACTTTTTAATAACAGTCATTCTCACTGCTGAAAAATCAGTGTTTTCACTTTTTGTTGTTGTTGTTGTTTTGGTTTTGTTTTTGAGACAGGGCCTCACTGTCACCTAGGCTGGAGCACAGTGGCATGATCCCTGGTCTCTGCTGCTGTAACCTCCCAAGCTTAAGCAATCCTTCCACCTCAGCCTCCTAACTGGGACCACAGGCAAGTGTCATCATGCCTGGCTAATATTTTTTATTTTTTGTAGAGAAAAGACCTTGTTATGTTGCCCAGGTTGGTCTCCAACACCTGGGCTTAAGTGATTCTCCTGCCTCAGCCTCCCAAAGTGCTGGGATTACAGGCGTGAGCCACCACGCCCAGCCAGCCTTATTTTTAATTGCACTTTTAGTGCAATTAAAGATTGATTTTCAAATACAAAAATAGCAACGTACTATGTGTTTATAGCATATGTAGAAGCAAAATGTGTAACATCAATAGCACAAAGGATGAAGGGAGGAATTGGCAATATACTGTACAAGGTTCTTGTACTACTGTGAAGTGGTATATGATAGCATTTTTTTTTTTTTTTTTTTGAGACAGAGTCTCACTCCATCACCCAGGCTGGAGTGCAGAGGTACGATCTCAGCTCACTGCAACCTCCACCTTTCAGGTTCAAGCAGTTATCATGCCTCAGCCTTCCAAGTAACCGGGATTACAGTCATGTACCACTACATCTGGCAAATTTTTTTGTATTTTTAGTAGAGACGGGGTTTCACCATGTTGGTCAGGCTAGTCTCGAACTCCTGACCTCACGTGATCCACCCACCTCAGCCTCCCAAAGTGCTGGGATTACAGGCATAAGCCACCGCACCCAGTCATGCTATCATCTGAAGGTACGCTCTGGATTAATTTAAAACATATACTGCTGGCCAGGCGTAGTGGTGATTCATACTTGTAATTCCAGAACTTTGGGAGGCTGAGATGGGAGGACCACTTGAGGCCAGGAGTTCAAGACCAGTCTGGGCAACAAAAGCAAGACCTCCATCTCATTTACTGTGATCACACCACTGCATTCCAGCCTGGGTTACAGAGCGAGACCCTGCCTCAACAAAAATAAAGTTACACTGTGTGCCTGCATTCCCTTCTACTTCCTCTGCCTCTGACACCCCTGAGATGGCAAGACCAACCTCTCCTCTTCCTCCTCAACCTAGTCAATGTAAAGAGAATGAGGACGAAGACCTTTATCATGATCCACTTCCACTTAATAAACAGTAAACATTTTATTTTCTCTAACTTACTTTATTGTAGGAATACAGTAGCTAATACCTATAAGAAACAAAGTATTTGTTCATCGAATGTTTATAGTATTGGTAAAACTTCTGGTCAACAGTAGGCTATTGGTAGTTAAGGTTTTCGAGAGTTGAAAGGTATAAGCAAATTTTTGACAGCACAAGAGGGTCAGCATCCCTAACCCCTGCCTTGTTCAAGGGTCAACTGTCCTTAAAACAGGCAGTATAAGAATGACTGAAGAAAACTCACTGTTTACTCTTAAGCAAGAATTAACCCCTCCAAGCCTCAGTTCCTTTTTTAT